CAAGCCGCAGGAACAGCCGGAAGTGCGCCACATCGTCGAACCCCTGCGGCAGGGGCTCCTCCCCGGCCTCGATGGCCCGGCAGAGCCGCGCCCCGGCGCACTCGGCGTCGTAATTCGCACACCCGGCGGACGTGGCCACCTTGGTGGTCGTGCTCCCGGCGGCCGAGGAGAATGCCCGCATATGGAGCAGCGACATGCCCCCGGGAGCCATGACCTGCGACGTTGTCGCATACACGCCGCTGACGGTGGCCAGGGGGGACGCCTGGCCCCGGTTGGCCGGTGTATGGCCCCCGGCCAGAGACCAGCCCCGTCGGGCCGCCGTCGCCGCCGTCGCCAATGCCGGCGAGCCCCACGCACGCAGGGCTCGCACGGCCGTCCTTGAAGCCAACATACGATGAGAGGGGCCGAGGGAGAGGACGAGAAGAAAAGAGAGACGCGCGCACAGACAGACAGAGAGAGAGAGAGAGAGAGGGAAGGAGAGATGCAGCATGTCCAGCTGGCCGGACGGTCGGATGTAAGCGCGCTCGCTCTTGACCGTGGCCGCCCCAGGAGGAGGGCCCCGGCGCAGGCCGCACCGCTCGTGGCGCCCCACACGCACACACACACACACACACACACACAGGCCGGTGCGGGCGGACAAGCGAGAGCCAGGCCCCGTTTGCATTGTCGGGGGCCGGCGCTCGGACGCTTTTAGTCGCGTGACGCGCACGTGCCCCGGGGCCATAATGTGACCACTCATGGCTCGCCGCCCCTTCCCCACAACACATTGACCCGTCCCTCCGCCCGAGGACGAGGACACATGCTGCTCTGTATGTGTGTGTGTGTGTGTGTGTGGGGGGGGGTTCTCAGCAACAGCACGGCCGGCGCGGCGGCGCTGCTCCACAGCGCGGGCTTTCCCCCCGGCCCCTGGACTGGCCGCTGCCCCCGTCCTGCCCGGCACGCACGCGGGCAGCATGTCCCCGGATCTTGCTCATGCGCGTGCCCGACATGAGCCAAAGGCCCACCGGCGGGCGGTGGCCGCGGTGGTGTTCGTTCCATCCTCTGGGCCCCGGCCGCTGGCACATGGCCCCGCCTGTGCGCCCAGCCGGGGTTCTGGGCCCGGCGTGGCGGGCGTCGCACACGCACGCTGTCGGCATGACGCGGCCGTGGGCGATCAAACGCAAGCCCGAGGCGACAAGTCCTCACGCGCGTGCCTCCTCGCGCCCGGCCGGCGTAGGGAGCTTTGGTGGGGAGCCCGGCATGGCAGGACAAGTCGGCTGGATCCGCCTAAGTCCGCCAGGCTCATACTGCCCCCGGGAGGTGTGTCATTGTCACACGCCGGCATGTGAGCACGCATATGCATGCACAAAGGCGGGCATAGCGAGAGAAAGAGAGCCCGAGCCCGAGCCCGAGCCCGAGCCCGAGACCAAGAACAAGACCGAGACCGAGATCGAGATCGAAATCGAGACCGAGACCGAGACCGAGACCGAGACCGAGACCGAAACCAAGACCAAGACCAAGACCAAGACCGAGACCGAGATCGAGATCGAGATCGAGATCGAGATCGAAATCGAAATCGAGACCGAGACCGAGACCGAGACCGAGACCGAGACCGAGACCGAGACCGAGACCGAGACCGAGACCAAGGCCGAGATCGAGACCGAGACCAAGGCCGAGATCGAGATCGAGAGACAGGGCGTCTCGCCCGCGGGTACCGACCTCTCCGCGCGAGCAAAGGGCGCAGCGGCCGATGCGCCCTTGCGATCCGCGAAGTAGGTCCCCCCCCCCCCCCCGGCCCTCCGCCCCCTCCCCCTCCCCGGCGGAGATGGCCACAACCGAAAGGAGCACAGCCAGAGCAAGAGCGGGCGAGGGACAGATCGGCCACCGGGGAGGCGATCGACGCTGGGGCCCGGCGCCGTGACGCGCGCGCGAGAAGGACCCAGGGCGCCCCGGAGCGCCGACCATAGCCGGCCAGCCCCGCCGCATGGCCATATGCACGCGCACGCGCACACGCGCGACAGGGGTGCGCCCAGTCACCACGGCCGGCGCGCATGGCATGCTGACCAGGAGGGGGCCTGGACTGGCCCGGCCGTCGGCTACGGGGCCGTGCGCATCGCCGCCGCCGCCGCCGCGGCCACGGCCAATGGCCAACGGCACACACATCCCGGCCGGGCGGCGCCTCGATCGGCCCCGGCCCCCAGGGGGCAACCTTCGACGGGCGGCCACGCAGCAAGCGAGCGAAAGAAAAGAAAAAGAAACACGGCTCCCCGGGGGGCGGGCCACTGTCCTGCCCACGCGCGTGGCATGGCAGAGCCAGCCATGGGCAAGAGACAGGGGCGCGGGCCCTGGCCGAGCAGGGGTGTGCGTCGCTCGCCGGACGCGGCGGGGCACCCCCCGACCCGAGCACCGGGTCGCGAGGCGGGGCGAGAGCTGGGGGACTGACGCGCCCCGGTGCATGTGTGCCAGGCCGGTCAGCCGGCCGCCGCGGGTGGCAGACCCACCAGGAGGCCGCAGTCATGCGCGCACGCACATACACACACACAAACACAGGCCGAGGAGGCGCCCGGCCGACGGGTCCCTTCGGTGCGGCGGAGTCGCGGGCTCCCCCAGGGACACGTGTGCCAGCGCGCCGGCGCTTTGCCACCGTGGCTCGCCGCCACCCGTGCTCGCCCGCGCGCCGGCGGCGCAAGTGCCCTCCGCGAACCGCCCTCTGGCCAAGCCGTGCCCCGGCCACCGGCCCCCGCCCCCCTGCCCCCTCCCCTCCCCTGCCGCAACGCCAAGCAGCCAGCACAAAGGGCACACACCTGCCGGCAGCCCCGGGGCCCGGCATCGGGTCCCGACCGAGACGGGCGCGCGGGCCGAAGCAGGAGATCTTTATTGACCGGTGCAAGTGAATGCTTTCCCGGCGAGACATCTCGCACGGGCTCCACACCCTCACGCCCCTTGCACGAGCGGCTCGGTGCGCGGCGGCGGCGAGGGACGGCGAGGGGCGGCAAGGGAATCCCCATGCAGGGGAAAGAACGAGACAGAGCGAGCAGGGCAGGGAGGCGCCGAGGGGCCCGAATGGCGTTCTCAAAGGGCGATGCACGTTGCCCGAGCGCCTCGCCCTGGGGCAGACACTCCTGCCAAGGGGACCGCCCGGCGTGTGACTCGCCCTATCGAGCAGGACACGCCCCCCCCCCCCGCGCTCCCCCCTTCGACCGCCCTCATTCGAGGGGGCTGGGCACAAGCAGCGGCGTGGCCACCTCGGCCGGGGCCTGCTCCGCGGACTCTCGGGGATCGGGCTGCCGGCCATGGATCTTGTGCTTCTTCGAGTGGCTGATCTCCCCGCGGAGGTTTGTGGTCATCAGGAAGCTGATCTCTTCGTGGATGAGATCCCCCTGGCCGAGGAGCAGCGCAAGCTTGACGTACGCCGCCTCGGAGGTCATGTCGCCGGTGTGAATGCACCCGCTGGCATTGAAGTCCGAGCCGGCGGCGTAGCTGCCGATGTCCACCCGACCACCCAGGCACTGCGACGTGATGGCGATGACCGTCTTCTTGGCCTTGGCCTCCATGAGGAGCTGCTTCAGCAGCGGGTTCCCTTCCGGCACATTGCCACTGCCAAAGGCCTCGATGATGATGGCCCGGGTGGGCACAATGCGCCGGGCATTGCCATCGACCTGGGCCTCCAGCATGGCCTTCCGGCTGAGCGGTGTCCGGTCCAGCGACTTGCGCATCTTGGACTTCCGGCCCGGGGGATGGCCCTCGGGGGCCTGCCCCGGGCGGGTGCCGGCGTCCTGCCCCCGCGGCTGGCAGGGCGGCAGGGCCGGCGGAGGGGGCAACTGCACCACCGACGGCTCGCCATCGCCGTCCATGATGAACCGCATGAGGGCCAGCATGGCGCGCAGGTCCTGCGACGGCTCCAGGCGCAGGACATAGATGTTGTTGCTGAACTTCCAATCGAAGCGGTAGTGGTCATAGTGCTCGATCTTCTCGTTGCCCGGGAAAATGTCCGGGTCGACGGCCAGGCGGATCAGAGGCTGGCCATTCGGCGACGTGAAGGCATTCATCTGCGTCGAGCTGAACTTCGTGCTGCGGTTCCCCCGGTGGAGGGCGTCATGGAAGAAGATGCTCACCTCCCTGTGGGTCTTCGAATGGCCGGCCAGGTAGATGGCCGCCAGCACATTGCTGCGGCCATCGCTCATCGGCTGGCTGAGGGGCACCTGCGCCCCGGTGATGATCACCGGGCAGTGGAGGCTGTGCAGCAGGAAGGACAGGGCCGCCCCCGTGTAGGCCATCGTGTCTGGGTGACCGGGCCCGGCCCCCGCCCCCCACCCCCGGCGATGGTCGCCGAGTCAGTCTCCGGTCAGCGGTTCTGCCAGCGGCCCGGCCCAAGCGCAACCTACCTGTTCCATGGGTCACCACGAAGCCCTGGTACTTGTCCTTCTTCGAGTGAATGTACTCCGCAAGGGAGAGCCAATCTGCCATATGGGGGGGGGGAGCGACGCGTCAGCGCAAGGTGCCACCCCTGGGGGGGGGCGATTGCCAAAGGCTTCAGTGACACGCACGCAGGGGCTTCATGCTGGAGGAGTCAATCTGCTCGGTGGCCTGCACCCAATGGACAACCGGCATGTTAGGGTGGTCCAGCTCGAACAGCCTGTCCAGCACATCCAGCACGGAGTCGGCCGAGTTGCACAGGGCCCCGGTGGCATCCTTCTGCATGAAGATCGTGCCGCCGGTGTTGATCACCAGCACGGTGCGCGTGTTATTCCGGGTCTTGGGGTCATGGTAGTGGCGCTGGTGCAGCTCGCTGTTGAGCGGCAGGAACCGCGCGCATGTATCACTCTCTGGAGACATAGGGGCAGCTGGGGAGCGGGGGAGCGGGGGGGGGGGGGGGGGGGGACAGAGGGCTGAGTGTCGTGCAAAAGGGGCCAAAGAAAGGAGTGGCCATATTGGACCATGGGGAAGGGCCACGCCAGCTGCCGACCAGGCCCGGTCCCCTTATATCCCGGCCGCCAGAGGCGCCGGCCAGTCGGCCGCGACACACCAGCGCGCACTCCCCCCCCCTCCCCGGCGAGACACATGCTGGAGCGCCTGGGGCTTGGGGGTGTCCTGGTGCCGGGGTCCTGTGCGCCCCGGGCGCTCCTGTGCAGCGCCCCCCGCCCCTGCTGTCCGGCTGGGCAGCATTCGGGCGTCAGGCGCCCCTTGCGCCCCGCCCCGCGCCCGCCCTCGCTGGTGGCATGCCCAGGAGCTGCACCATCCATGCCAAGCCCGAGCGCCCCCAGCGGGCAGCCGCCAACGCCGGAACGGACCACAGCCCTGTGGCCGCATCCCGAGCCATGCACACCCGGCAGACGGCCACGCTCCCCGCGCGCAGGCCAGCGCCCCCGCCCGGCCTCGGCCCCGATCCGAGAAAAGCACCCCTCCCACGACCCGACCGGGCCATCTCGGACGAGGGACGCCCCGGGGTCCTATCGCCAGCCGGTCCCCCAGCAAAGGCTGGCCCTGCCGGAATGTGCGCCCTTCGCGGGCTGGCGTGTTCGCTCGCATGACCGCCCGCGTCGCAAAGCCCGGGTCCCGGCCCTAGCGCCACGCCGGCTGCCGTGACCGAGGCCTCCCCTGCCCGGCCCCGGCGAATTGTCCCCCCTCTGCCGACGCCCCCAGGCGAGGGGACGGCCGCAAAAAAAAAAAAACGCCCTCCGATCGCACACAGCCCCTGGGGTCTTGCTTTCCCGGCGCTCGTGGCATCTGGCAAGTGGCTCGCCCCTCCTCCCCGGCGCAATCGACCACGCGCTTGGGCGGGCCACCGGCGCCACGATGCGGCCCCGGGGCCGGGCCCGCTCACGCCTCGTCGCCATTGTGGCCCTCGCCACAGGCATGCCGCTCCCGAGGCAGACCGAGGCTTTTCCCCGCCCCGCCGCGGCTACCTGCCTCTGGCTCTCCCTCTTTCGCGCACACAGGCTCGGGGCCGGCCCCGAGAGCCCACGGCCCGCGGCCGGCCCGGCTGCCTCGGCAGGGCGTGACGGCCGGTGCTTCGGGAGCCTCGACCCGAGGGGGATCCCGGCGAATCGGGCCTCTCGCAGCGGCGCGGTCGGGCGGGCGCGTGCCTGCTCGCCGAGCCCCGGCGCCCGATCAAGCATCCATCTCGCCGCACCGCCCCAGGCACCATCGGTCGAGCAGGGGCATTGGCCCTCCGCTGGGGCGGCGGCGTGCGTGTGCGACCGCCTCGGGAGGCCCACCTCGCACCCCCCAGTAGCACGCCACACTTGAGCACCGGGCACACGCCTACGGCTCTCTCACTCTCTCTCTCTCTCTCGCTCTCTCTCCCGGTCTCTCACTTTTGCGCTCTCGCTCCCGCTCTCTCTCTCTCTTTATCCTGCACCCCGCCGTGCGCCTCCTCCGGTCCACATACACGCACATGCGTTTCGAGAGCCCGAGCCCCTGCCCACCCGGGCCACGCGGGTGCCCCTGTGTGGCGAAATGAAACACCCCGGGCCGGGGGAACCATGCCCGCCGCAGCGACCGCACGGGCATCGACATAACCATAGCCGGCAGCAGGGGGCATTCCATGCCGGTGTTGGGGCTGCGGCTGGGTTGCCGAGACGCGCCCGGGAAATGCCCACGCCCGCACGCCAGATTGCTCCCGAAAACATGGAACGCCGGCTCGAAACCCGAGCGTCGCCGGCGCGGCCGCCTGCATGCCAGCCACCGGCCGCCGGATGCTGCCCACACCGGGGGCATGACCCGGCCGGGCACCGGCCCCGCCCCCCGCCCGGCCCCAAACACACCATCAGCCCGTGGAGCCGGCCCGACACGCAGCAGCACTGGCCCGGCAAACAACAAGGGTCGAAGCGAAACGGACCCACACACACACACACACACACACACGGGCCAGCTGCCCGCGCATGCTCGCCCTACTTGCCGGGGAAGGTGCCCGGAGCGGCCACATCGCCCTCCGGTTGGCTGCGGCCCGGCGGCGCACCGGACGAACTTCACATGGCTCTTGTGGGCGCAGGAGCCATGGCTCACACACGGGCCTCGGTCACAAGGGGCGTGGTAAATCGGCGACCGCCCCAGCCCTCTCCCGGCTGGCCCGCCGCCAAGCGCCCGGCCCGCGGGTTGAGCGTGAGCATGCGCCCCCCCCCCCCCCCCCCCCCGTCCCTCCTCCTCCATCGGCCCAGCCTGCCACCGGGGGAGGCGGAAGATTGCCCGTCACATGCGATGCCGGATGCATTTTGCTGCCCGGCGATGGCGCCTCACTCGGGCACATTCACTGGGCCACTGGCATGGGTCGGCTGCAGCGGGGGTGCCCGATCAGACAGATCAATGGCCAGCACCCGATGTCGGGCCCGCCTTCCACGGGGCTCTCACCGGCCGGGCGCCCACCCAAAGGAAGCCCGGCCCCGGGGGACACCACTCCGAGAAAGGCGCCCCCGGCCGGGACCTTTCTCCTTGTGCCACCAGGCGGCCCGGCAGCCCGGCATCCGGGGAGCCGGCGGGCAAACAACCGCGAAGGGCTGCCCCTCCCTTCAAAGGGGGGCCCCCGTGGGTACCATCGAGCGGCTGCTCGCCAGCCCGACTGAAGCCTCGACCCGGCTCGCGCATGTGTTCCCCGGCAGCCGTGTGCTGGGGCCTTCGCCCGCGGCAGGCACGCCAGAGGGGGCGGGGGAGGGGGCGGACTTCCTTCGCCCGTCGAGTGCCATGGCACCCCCCGGCCCCGGCGGCCACAGGGCCGTCGTCGTCACGCGCGGGACGCCTCTCCAAGGGGAGCCATCCCCGAGGCGGCACACCGTCCCGCGGCTTGGGGCAGATCCTACCAGCGGCTCAGGCAGCAACTCGGCCCCCACATGCCCTCTCGGCCGGCCTCGCCGCCATGCGCCCCGGCTTCCCCTCCATTCATCCACATCCCCGAGCACGCACGAAGGCATACACACACACAACCCGGCCTTGCCTCTTTCACATCCCCGACCGATGGACCCAGCCAAGGAGCAGTTCAGTCCCACCCACCGCTCGACGCCAAAACCCAGGCACCCCGGCACCACCGGCCCCGGTGCACCGAGCAGACCGCCGACATGCGGCCTGCGTGGCCCTGCCAGTGGCTGCCCACCTCCGAGCAGACCGGGCGGAACACCCGCATGATCGACCCCTTCTTCCGCGCGACCCGCAGAGCGCCCCCCCCCCCCCCCAGGACACACGGTTCCGAGGCCCCTGGGCACGCTTTTGCTGGGGCTCGCCGTGATGGCCGGCGGCGGATCTTCGCCTGGGCGAAGGGAGTTGGCTGCTTGCCGCGCCAGATGGCCTCGTGTTTGCTTCCCAGGACACAACCAAGATGACCCCCGCCATTCGCCCGCCCCTGGGCCCCCCTTCCGGGCAACATCCGCCGCGCGCCACATCCCAACGGCGAGCGGTTCGATTAAATCCCACTGCCCCGGGTTAACCGGGCCGCCCTCCCATTCCGGATGCCGGGCGCCGTGCTGCGGCCCGCGCCGAGGCCCCGGCCTCTGGACTCGGTGCATGGATCCGCCGTCACATGCGCCATGTCGCCCGCATGACGCAGCATGATCGTGTCACGGCACGGGCCGCTCGCCGGCGGCCCCGTCGCCTTCCCGCCACAGCCATCGCTCCTCGGCCTCGGCCTCCTGCCGTCTCCTAGCCTCCTCCCAGTGGCGACCCCCCCCCCCTGCCGCGGCCTTCCGCCGGCGGGACTACAGCGGCCCCGTCGCCTGACGCAGGGGATGCCGAAAAAAGGATCGCCCCCTCACGGCCGACACATGGATCGGCACACAGGGCGGGCCCGGAGCCGTGGAGCCACCGAGGAAAAAGGCGGACCGCCTGCCGGGCGCCCCTCCCTCCGGCGCCTCTCCTGCCGCCGGGCCCACAGCGTCGGGCGGCCACCGCCAAACACACCGGCCAAAGCCCCGGGGAGGGGGCTCCGCACCGGCCCAGGGCGCAAGAGAGCATGCCGAGGCCAGCGTGCAGCCTATAACCATTAGCTGGGGCCACCTGCCGAAGGGAGCCAGCCGCCCCTTCGACGCTGCGCGGCGGTGCGGCACAGCTCTGTCCCCCCCCCCCCCCCCGCCCCGCCCCGCCCCGCCTCCTGAACAGGACCAGTCCACCTGCCGACAGGATGCGGCTGACACATCGCGCATCCACTCCGGCCACTTCGCACACCTGGCCATGCCACCGCAGGGGGCAGGCCAGCCAGAGCCCTGGCCAGGCCCCCGCCCCGGGAGGTGAGCGACTCGCGAGAAGGCGCAGCCGCGAGCGCTCGCCAAGCGACACACCAAGCGGCCCCGGCCACCTGGGCACACCTCGACGCCCCAACAGCCCAGACCCTCGCCCTCCGTGAAGCAGGCCCCTGGCGCCGCGCAAGCTGCCAAGCAGGTGCCGGGGCAGGGGCGAGGGGACAGCCTTTCGCCCGCACCCCGGCAAACGCGTGTGCCCACGCTTCGGAGGGGACCGGCCCCAGCCAGAGCGACCGCAGCGACAGCCCCTCGCTCCCCCGGCGGCCGGCCGGCAGGCGAAGGAGGCGCAGGACGCCAAAAGGCCGGGCCCCGCCCCGTGCGTCGCCGCTGCCACCACATTATACTATTGCCGCGGCCGGGCGTACCAAGGCACACCAACACGGCCAGGGCACCTCGAGCGCGCATGCGGACGCCCGAAGGCCAGAGGCGAAGCGGGAGAAGGCCCGAAAGGTGGCGAGACGGCACATGCACCGGCAGAGGGGCAGGGCCCCGGGCCGCCCAAGCCGCGAGTCACCCCGACCCCCACGCCCTCCCCCCAGGGCCAGACTGCGGCCCGGCGGCCACCGGGGAAATGGCCGCCACGGAGGGGCGCCCCGGCTGGCGCACGGCCGAATGGCCGCGCGGCCGTCACCCGGAGCCGGAGGCCCCCCCCCCTGGCCGGCGCACCCTGGCCCGACCACGGCCGACCCCAGGCCGCCGGGGGGGGCTGGCGGTCGGGCAGGCGCGCCCGGCCCCCTCCCCCCCGGCGAGCAGGGCCGCCAATCGCTCCAGCCGCCCCGGGACTGCCCTGCAGGGGGCACATCACAGCGAGAGGGGCATGAGGCGGGGGGGGGGGGGGCATGTACCCCGCGCGCCGCGCTCTCTCCCGCGGTGCATGCCGGCCCGCCTGCACACAAGGCCGGGGGAAGTCCCGCGCCCAGGACCGCCCCCCCACCCCCCCGGCCCGCGGCGTCTCTTCCATGCATGGCCCGCACGCTGGCGCATTGTGCCCGGTCCCGGCCGCCACCAGCCGCGCCGCCTCGGCCGCCGGGGCCCGAGCCAGGGTCGCCCCACCGGGCGGCAACACGCACCCCGGCACATGGGCCCCAGCGCGCGACGGCACCCGACCCCGGGACCGGTCCGTGCCTCCGGCCCCGGAGAAGAGGCCGCAAACGCATGGTGCCCGGCCTGCTCGCTGCCCGGGCACACCCTGCGCGATCTTGGCCACCCGCCCCGGCCTCCGCGCGAGGCGCTTGCCCGGCGCGTCGGGCCTCGCCATGTCCGCCTCGGCGGCTCCGTCGCCACCGGCCCCGGTCGCACCTGCCCGCCACACCTCGCAGCCGGCCTTGGCGGTTCGCACCGCGACTGCGCCTCCCCCCTGGCCCCTTTCCCCCGGGGGGGGGGGGGGGGGAGCATGCCTGTCTCTGCGCCTTGCCCTGGGTCGGCGCCCCGGACCGTCGGCGCCTGGCCCCGGCCGTCCCCTCCGCGCCCGGTCCGCCGCACACACCCAAGCACACGTGGATGCTGCCACCTCGGCGCCCATGAGCCAGCCAAGGCGGAGGGGGGCGGGGCGAACAAGCGCACGATGCCCGGCTGCTGGCTCGTGCCTGGGGCCCGGCACCGGTGGCCGCGCTGGCCAGGGCGCGCCCCAGCCGGGGACCGAGCCATGGGCCCGCGAGCCGGTCCACATGCCCCGCCCGCCTGCCGCACAGCCGGCTCGACCGGCGCCGCCATGCCCGCACCAGGGGGGGCCACGAATGGGTTGCCCGCGGGCGCACCCCCTCACTCGGCCACCCGCCCCTCCTCCCGTCGGAGCACCACCGACACAGTGCCTGCCGAGGAAGCACGCGCCAACCCCGCCCCGCTGCCGGCCACCATGGCAAGGCCCGGTAGCCCGGCCCCCGGGTGAGGAGGGGCCCCGGCCCCGGTCGCCGCATGCCAGCCGCGCACATCGGCCAAGACAGCGGCACCCGGCGCACGCCGGCCCGGCCGGCCGCCATACCCCCCGAGCCCGGGCCCCGCACACGCCACCAGGCGTCCCGATCCCCGGAGCAGGGCCCCCGGATGGACCCTTCGCCGCGGCCTGGCCGGCGCCCCGGCAGGGCATGTGCGAGTCCGCCGCCAGGCACCTCGCGGTCGCCCGCCGCACGGTGCGCTGGCTGTCCCGGGGCGCCGGCCCCAGCCGGCCCGAAGAGGCCCCGTCGCAAAAAGCAAAAACACCGCCCGCTTGGCCCGTGCCACGGCCCCCCGAGGGACACCTCGCCGCCGCCGCCGCCGCCGCCGTCGAGGCTGCCCCCGGAGCCGGGTCGCCGGGTCTAACAACATTGCCTCGGAAGTGCCGGCGAAGACGCGGCGAGGGGATCCGCCATGCGACGCGGGCCCGGGCAGCCTGACACACAGGCACCGGTCGCGCGGCCGGGCGGCGCCCGGAGCATGGGCCCGGCCCCTCCCTCGCCCGGCCCGATCGACCCGGCAAAGATGCCCGAGCAGCCGGGGCCGCCCAAGCATGTCGCACCGCCCGGCGCCGGCCCCCGGCCAACCCATGCCCCCCACGGCGGTAGCATGTCGCCAGCGCACGGGCATCTGGCCAGGAGGGCCGCATCGGCCCGGGCCCGCGAGCGCCATGCCTTCGGCGCGCCCCCGGCCCAACACCTGCCCCACGGCTTGGGGACAGGCCCGCGGGCGCGCTGGCCGGGCGTCGTCGTCCGGCACCGACCACGCAGCAGGGGCCGCTGCACCATCGGCATGGCCCGGCAATGAGAGCCGCCGGCGCCAAGCCCCCGGCGCCAGGCTGGCGACCGACACGCAGGCATGCCAAAGCGCGATCCCCGCACAGGCGTGGGCCCCCGGCCGCATGCGCGCACGCGCCTCTCCGGAAGCGAAGGCCCGAGTGGCTTCCACGCTGGCATAGCGGCCCCGGCATCGGAGCAGCCATCCCGGCTGCCGGGGGTGAATGGGCCACCACAAGCCCGGCGCGGCCAGGACCTCGGCAGCGGGCCACACGAGGCGCGCCCCTGCGCCCGGTGTGCCGGTGGCCGCCTGCCGCCCGCCCGGCCAGCCGGGGAGGGCCGCCCACGCCATCGCCAGCATGTGCGCTGCTCCGGGCAGCCCCGGCGACCTTGGCGCACACCGCCGGCACCGGGCCGGGGGCGGGCGCTCGGCGGCCGTCTGGGCCGGTGAGGCATGCGCAGCCGGCCGCCATCGCATGCCCGGCATGCGCACCCGGCGACTGGCCATCACGAGCCCCCCTGTCCTGGAGTCGCCAGGCGTGCACGCCCGATGGCCCGTCGAAGGTCGGCGCATGGCCGGGCCCGGGATGTGGGTGTGCGGTTGCCGGAGGCCGCTCCAGCGCCGGGGACGCCGACCGGGCAGAGGCGGGCGCCTGTGCTGGCCCGCCCGGCTACTGGCCCGCCCGGCTGCTGGTCCGGTCGCCACGCCCCCCCCCCCCCCGGATGCCCATCGGGACTGATGCACAGCATCGCACGCCGGCCCAGGCACACAGGGCGGCCATTTGCCGGCGGGTCGGCCACCCGGGGAGAAAGCTCAAAAAGGGGGAAACCGTGTCCGGGCGAGGGACAAGGGGAACACGACACCGCAAGTGCCAGGGACACGCACGCAGGGTGGCCAGTCGCCGGATGATCGGCCACCCCGGCTCGGGAGAAATGGACCACCCCCAGAAAGGGAGCACCCGAGACAGCATCGTCGTCGCGGAAGGGGAGATGAAAATGGAGAACTCAAGCGAAAATGGCGATGAAAATGAAAACAAAAAATACAACACATAATGAAGATCAAGGACAACACACGGCGGTGCATTTTGCCCGTGCGGGGACACACAGCGAGGCAACAGGGGGCATAGTAAAATACAGTCGGCAGGCACACGGCACGGCCGGGGAGAGAAGGATGCACACCCGTGGCGCCATGTGTGCCCGCACAGACACACAAGAGAAAGAGGCCGCAGGCGCCTGGTACACCACACGCACACACACGCACACACCATCACCGGCTCGCCGCCGCGAGATAGGGCTGGGCAAGCTTCAGCAGGTTCTCCTCCCAGCCATACTGCCGGGCGATGGCGGAGGCCGGCATCTGCGGATGCAGCCGCAGGAGGGACTTGATTTCGAACAGCCGGCTGGCCACATGCCGGTAGTAGGACGGCGCCCGGAAGGGCACCTTTCGGCAGGTCGCATCCGCCCGGAGGGAGTTCACCACCTGCGGCAGGGTGCAGCCCAGGTCCACGGCCACCTGGTGCAGCAGCGGGGCCGTGGCCTGGTCGGCGACCTTCGCCAGCAGCGGGGCCACCTTTTCCACGGGCACATACATGCCCCCGGGCCCGGACCCCGCCTCCGGGGCCAGGGCCAGGAAGAAGTACTCCGGACAGTAGAGGTGCAGCAGGGAGAACACCATGTCCGGGCACATGGCCAGCTGCTCGGCAATCTGCCTCACGGTGAAGCGCATCCGCCCGCCGGCCGGGTGCACCTGCTCGCCGAGCTGGCGCAATCGCTCGATCTCCGAAAAGGACAGGGCGCCCACCGCCGGGACCGTCCGGCGCAGCTCCGCCAGCGACCCGGCCCCGACGAAACGCTTCCGCACCTGGTACAGCGAGATGCCCATCCGGTCGGACACATCGCGCAGGGTCAACGGCGGCCGCAGGCTCCCGAGCCCCTGCAACATCGGCAGCATGTCCCGGTCCGCATCCACATGGCCCGGCCGCCGGATGAGCCCCAAGTGCCGCAGGGTGATCAGGCTCTTCGGGTCCACGGCCGGCTCCGGGCAAAGGAGCGCCCGATACAGGGGAGACACCGGCGGCAGGAATGCCCGCACATAGTCCCTCAGGGTCATCGAGTTGGAGCCGGGCCCGGACCGGCCGTCCAGCTCCAGCGGCCGCGGCACCGACCGGTCGGCCGGCACCGGCAGCACCATCCCCGGCTCATAGTACTTGATGTACCACCGGATCCGGTCCAGCGGGATGCCCGTCCGGCTGGCCAGCTCGGCCAGCGTCCACCGGCACTCCTGCAGCAGGGCCCGCAGGTGGGCCAGCCGCTCGGCCGGCAGCTCGCCCCACCGGCGGACCCCATACGTGGCATGCAGCAGGGGCCCATGGCAGTCGAAGGTGGCCCGGTCGACGCCGGCCCGCTGGCACACCGTCTCCTCCGACAGGCTGGCGTCGCTGCCGGCCGGCCCGGCGGCGGCCAGCACCGCTCGCAGGGCGTCCAAGCGCACCGACGGCACCCGCGGCGGCTGGTAGTCCCCCAACTCCGGCACATAGGTGGCCAGGTCCCTCGCCACGGACTTCGGCGAGGAGGACAGCAGCCAGGCCATCTGCGACAGGGTCAGCCGGGGGGTCACCGATGCCAGGGCCCGGAGCCGGTCGACCGGCACATGCGGCCGCCGGGCCGCCGGGCCACACGCCTCCGGCAGGTACTCCAGCAGCAGGGACCCCAGCTCCCGCGAGGGGAGCCACACCAGCCGCGGCAGCAGGTCCCCCAAAACCGGCGGATCCCGCCGGACCAGCCTCGACACATCCTCGAACACCGGATGCCCGGGGCCCAGCCCGGCCAGCGGGCCGCGCCTGGATCGCCGCCCCGGCGGGCTCCCCACGCCCAGAGACCCATAGTGCATCATCAGCGCCTTCACCGACAGCCGGTCCAGCCCCAGCAGCCGGCCAATGGTGCAGATCGGCGCCAGCGGCCGCCGCACTTGCGGGTCGCCAAGCAGACGCAGAAACAGCTGGAAGTCCTCGATGGTGCTGAACCCCAGTGGCAAGCCCTGCCCATCGGCCTCGATGTGCCGGCGGCGCTCCGCCCCGGGGGTCGGCTGGTCGGGCCGGCATCGGCCCATGGTCTGCGCCTGGGCGGCCGGCGGTATCGAGGACAGCCCGGCCCCCCGACACCCGGCGCCGGGAGCGAAGGCCGCCTGCGCCAGGCGCCGGTGTGGGAGGCGCCGGATCGCGCGGAACATCGCGAAGGGAGAGGAGCGGGCGGCGGGCGGCGGAGGAGGGCGGAAAGGAAGGGAGGGGGCAAAGTGGAAAAGGGCCAAGACTAGGGGGGAGGGGGGGGGGGGGGGAGGACGATGCCGTCGTCGTCCGGGGCGCACGCACGCCGCCGGGGCCGCCGAAAAAGATGGAAAGAGCGGCCGACGCCCCCCCCCGGGACCGAGGCGGCGCAGGCACATGCGCGAGCGATTGCCAACGCATCGCTTCTCGGGTCACCTGCGCCGGCGTTCGGCACGTGGTCCAGGGGCCCGTGAATGCGCGCGTCGCCCGGCTCCCCTCGCGCCGGCCCGGGCCGCCGGGGGTGTGCCTGGTTGACGCCGACCACGATGCGGGCAATTGCCGGCCCCGGCCGGCGTGGATGTGTTCTTTCATTGGCTCCGGTCCAGGGCGGCGGCCGGGCCACTGGCGCATGCCTGCGGCCTGGTCCCCACACGGGTGTGGGGGCGTGCCTCTCGCCCGTCGTCGGCGCCGCACGCGCGGCCGGCGCTCTGGACAGCACTGGCCAGGTCGCTGGGTCGTGCGCGAGGCAGGCCGCCCCCCGGGCCCGGCGATCGCCGCCCCTTCGGTGGCCAGAGCCAGGCCGGCCTTCCTCGCGTGCCCGAGCATGACCGGCGGAGCCGACTCCCGGGCGTGCCGCGGCATCCGGCCTGGCTGAGGTGGTGCGTATGCCGCGGATCCTGCCACTCTGGCCGTGAAGCAGGTGGCCGTGGATCCTGCCACGTTGGCCGTGAAACAAGTGGCCGCGGAGTTTACCACGTTGGTCGTGAAGCAGCTGGCCGTGGGTCCTGCCACTCTGGCCGTGAAGCAAGCGACCAGAGGATCTCGCCGCGCCACCCCCGAGACAAGCGGCCGCGGCGTTTACCACGTTGGCCGTGAAGCAAGCGACCAGTGGATCTCGCCGCGCCACCCCCGAGACAAGCAGCCGCGGATCTGGCCGCACCGGCCAGGAGACGTGCCCCCAGTCGGAATGCCGACCTCGGCCATCCATGCCGAGGGCGCTGCTCGCGGGAATGCGCCGGGGGGCGTGGCCGCGCGCCCGCCGCAGCTAGGCCCCCAAGCCGACGGCAGGCCCCGCCCTCCGCCCTCCGCCATGCCGCGCAGGCCGGCCCCGGAGAGGGGCGCTTCCTGCGGGGGCACCCGCGAGCGCGCCGCGAAGCCCCACCCCCAACACCCAACGCACGCCCCCCCCCCCGATCGGCGGCCCAACAAACAAACACCCATGAGCGCCAACTCGGTGTCCGGCGCCGAGACGCGCCCAGGGCCGACAACAACAACAACAACAACAACCGCGTGTCCGCAGGCCACCGCTCTCAGGCTCCGTCGGCTGGTGGCCTGGCGCGGGGCGACCGACTCAAGTGTTGGCTTTCTCCCCGGGCCTCTCACGGCCCCCCTGAAACACGGCCCTCGCGTCTGGGCCATGTTCGATGGCGAATGCCCGGCCCCAGCCGCAGCCCGCCCGGCGGGCCCGCACGTTCCGGTGGTGTCGCGGAATAAATGCCCGATCCGCGGCGCGGACACGCGCATTCCCGCGCCTCTCGGCCATGGCGTACACACACACAGCATCGCACAAACGCCCGACCGCACGATCGCGCGCGCGCAAGGCGCACGGACAGTCACCTTACGCCCCCCCCGCCCCCGGGCTCCAACGCGGGCCACCCGCCGGCCGAGCATGGCCAGGCCGGCAGAAGTGGCCCCGGCCCGTCGACAGCCGGCACGCTGGCCCACAACACC